CAGGCTGGTTACTTTCTGCCATCTCAGGCCTCCTGGCTTCAATCACAGCACCACAGAACACCCACCCTGGGGGGATCGAGTGAGAAAAACACTCGTAAAGAGCTTAGCTCGGTGCCTCCCATGGAGCAATGCTTAATACGTGGTAACTTCTACTGTTGTTGTTGCTGTGTTATTAATATTAGCCTCCAGAAATCATTTACCCCATAATTCTCAACCATAAGTGTGCACTGAATCAGTTGGAAGGCTTGTTAAAACAGACTGCTCCACCCTACCCCTAGAGCTTCAGATTCAGTGGGTCAGGGCAGGGCCTGATAATCTGCATTTCTAACAAGTACCTAGGTCATACTGACTCAGGGAACACCCTCTGAGAAACACCCACTAGCCAATGGTTTGCAAACATTTCAAATTTTCCATCAGCAGAATTCTTTCTCTTAAATGAAACTCTTCGCAGAAGGCTAATGCATCAAACAGTTGAAGAGAAGCCTCTTTTGTTGTAATATACATTAAAGAGCGAGCTGGACTCAAGGACACCACCGCCATCACCTCTGTACAACAGCTGACCCCGCACCCCCAGGAATCCCCAGAAGCCACCGTGGAAACCACTGCTGGGGTTTTAATGAGGGCACACCCCCTCTCTAGAGCCAGCCCTTCTACCCCATGTTTGAGCAGAAGAGAATGAGGACCACAGAGCTCTGAGCTCCCAAGGGCCCTGGATGTGCCCGGTTCCCTCCAGACTCTATCCCAAAGAGCAGACTTGGGGTTCTTTGCAAAGCTGGGGTTGTATTTAAGACAGGAGACAAAGGATGCACGGCCGCCCACAGCACTGGGCCAGGGGCCACCTACTGCCCCGGTGGGGGCCGGGGTGGCCCATGAGGGGAGACAGGGCAGGGACACCTGGGCCTTTAGCTTGGAAGCTGAACCCTTCAGTTGGGGAATGGCATGGAGATTCCGCAGTAAAGGAGGGAACTCTGCCAAGCCTGGCTCCAATAGCTTGAATCCCGGAAACACTGGGGGGTCCCAGGACGGAGCCACTTTCCAGTGCGGTCCAAAGACAGAACTGGAAGGAAATGGGTCTGCTCTGATTTAAACCCTTCCACGTAGCTGTGAGGAGACTGAGGCCAGGTAGAGAAAGACCCTGCCCAGGGTTACGCAGCAAAGAGATGCTGGCAGAACCTGGGTTTAAACCCGGATCTCCCAACTCCCAGGCCAGAGTGTCACAGAGACTCACAATCACCTGAGGATCTAGGCCACACTCAGACCCACTGAATCAGAATCACTCCCTAAGTTCTCCAAAGCTTAACAATCTCCAGAACTAGCCACCCAGGGAGCCAATTCAGGCTTGGAGATCTATCAGGGAGTTGTTAGATTTAATAAACAAAACAAACAAACAAACAAACAACAAAAAAAGAGAGACCTGGTTAATCGCCATTTCAGACAAACAATAAATACTTTTGGTAATGACAATGTCGCAAACATTGCATAGGACATACTTATGCTAATTACTAATCCTATACTAATACCAATTGATTTTATGCTGATATTTAATTTTTAGTATTAGTATATCTCATGCAACATTTTGGTTATATTTATATGAAAACATTTTTTGTTGTTTATCTGAAATTTGAAGTTAATTGAGTTGTTCCGTACTTCATCTGGAAGCCCTGCCTAGGGCCCCAGCACAGGCTGGAGGGACTGGCAGTCCATGCCTTTCTCCTGGATGGGAGGGGTGTTGGGGAAGGGACTCACTGCAAACAATTGTAGCATTATTCTCGATGGTGTATTCATAGTTGTCCACGTAGGTGTGACAGCCCTGGTCAAAGAGCTTCTGGTAGCAGCAGTCATGGGCATGGCAGCACCTAGGGGCGGGGAGAGGAGAGCAGGCCACATAGCCAGGCTTGGCCCATCTCCCACCTTCAGAGAAACTGATCATCCGTTTCATTTCTTCACTGATCAGACCTTCAAACTGGGGCCCAGAGAGGGCCAGTTACTTGCCTGAGGTCACACAGCAAGGCAGAGCCAGCCAGTGCCCCAAGTTTTTGTCCACGATCTTGCCTCTTTGTCCTATGCCCAGGATTCCAGCTTTCCCCCTGGCTGCAGCTGCGGGAGGGGTCAGGGGGTTCAGCATTGTGGTCAGGGTGAAGGGAGGGTTAGGGTGAGTCAGTGTCGGAGGGTACTGACGACACGCAGAGGCCATACCTGGCTGTGCGTGATGGCAGGGGAGGGACAAAGTTCTGAAGGACTGATTGGGGATTGGGGGTGGGTGACAGGAAGCAAATGCGGTGTGGCTGTCATCATTCCCTCTGATGGAGGGAAGACAATTAGTCAACATGCTTCTATTAAGCTCCCTGTGATACCAGACTTGGTGCCGGCTGCTTTTGGGGAGATAGGAACACTAGATAAGCCACTCCCAGTCTAATGGAGGAATACACACAGCCCCGTCCTCTAGAGCCTCCAGTCCGATGGAGGCCGGGCTCACAGTCCTTGCCTTTGTCCGGCACAAGCTGTGTGACTGTTGCACTCCTGTGTCTGGGAGAAGGTCAAAGATTCCTTCCTGGCAAGGGTGAGAGTTCAAATACCTCCAAGCCCTAGACCTTGGAAATGGACAATAAAAAGTGTCCAAGATGGTTGGAGAGGCCACAGGTCAAAGGTCAGGCTCGTCGTCACTAACTCATCAAACAAGCATCATCCTTTAGGGAAAGGGCCCTCTCCCACCTTTTAGAGATGGAGATCAATCTGAACTTTGCTGCTCCCACCCGGTCTTAACAGAAGCCCAGGAGTTCCAGAACCTACCAGTCCACTTCATCCATGGGCAGGCCGCGCCCTCCCAGCCCACAGTAGCAGCCGTAGCCCACGAAGGACAGGATGGCACTTTTCCCCGTGATGGTTTCCACCATGGACTTCAGGTTGAACAGGCTGCTGTAGGCCACAGGCAAGACTGCGAGGGAAGCGAGGGGTGCTGTGAGCTCCCTGCCCCACCTGACCGGCTGTCCTCCCATCCCCAGAGCCAGGTCAAGGGGGCAGCGGGCGGCTGGTCCACAAAGCACGGAGCATTACCCACATTCCTGCATTAAGCCCTGTGGCCTTGGGAGGGTACTAAGAGTCACTATCTGAAGACTTCTCCGTGCCAGGCACTGTCCTTAGGCCCCTTCTCTGCATTAACTCATGGAGTGCTCACTGCAGCCCTTCGAGATGCTATTGTGGTGTAGCTGTCCCATTTTACAGATGAGGACACCGAGGCCCAGAGCACTTAGTAACTTTCCCAAGAATGCGCTGAAAAGTGGTAGGGACAGAATTTTGACCCAGCACTGAAAACTCAAGTGCCCAGCAACTGTAAGGGGCTCTGCAAATGCCACGTGCCCTTCTGAACACAGGAGTTTGATTCTGGGCCCTTCTGATGTGGCTTGGCTCCTCTGCCCTCAGCAGGGACTCAGAGTCCACAGTCCTGGGGCTGCTACCTCTCAGAATTCATCCAGAAATGACTGGGTGCTCTGGTTGTTCAATGAAGACACACACACACACACACACACACACACACACACACATACACACATTCCTTTCCCTCTGTCAGTGTCTCACATACCAGCAAAACCAGGTTCCTTACACCTGGAAGCCAGCTCACCCCGGTAACACAGCCCCGCCGCCAGCTTCCCTGCCTGCTGGGCTCCTGGCCTGTGCTGCCTCCGCATCTCCTCGTGGCTCACTGCTGAGTCAACGCCAAGCCTGGCACTCAGGTCCTCATTCGGGTGGGGCCGCCCCACACACAGGCAGGAGAGCTGCTCCATCCCCATTTTACAGAGGAGCAAACTAAGGCCCAGATCAGTGAAGATCATACAACCGGAAGCGGCAGAGCCCAGACACGTCCCCAGGTTTCTGTGCCCCAGAGTTGTGATGCCACCACCACACAGTGCAGCTCCCGTCTGCCTTTCCCACCCTGGGCTCCTCCAGCTGCGTGTAGGGTTAGGTGTCCAGTTCAGCGCCCCGTCCCTATTCTCTCTACGTTCCCATCCTGCTCCACTGCCTGAAAGAGGAAATGTACCAAGGGAGGGAGGAGCCAAGAATTTCAGAAATTGGAGGCTGGATGGAATTCCAATGGCTGCAATTACTTGCTTCTTGAGACATGGTTGTCTCAAGACAACCTAGTGACGGGGAACTCACCACCTCAACATGCCTTAGTGGGAAGAGCACAGAATTTGAAGTCAGATGGACTCAGGCCCGTAACTACAGTTCCCTGGAGACTGTAAAATGAGAACAACAATCCTGACCTCCAGCGATCAGCCCGGCCAATGCCCAGCTCGGGGTCTCAGCATGCACCAGGCGCTTGCTCCCTCCATGGTGCCTGCCACCTCCTGGGGCCCGTGGGGACCCTGGGCCAGGCCTGCCCTCCCCCTCAGAGAGCTGATGTCGGGATCCTGCTCCACCTGAGTGGTCCTGCCTATTGGCTTCGTGATTTTCATCATTACAGAGAATAAGGAGTAAATAAGAGAGGACACAGGGAAGGAGTAGGGAGAATGACAGGTGACTTTAAGAGGCCAGTTTAGAGTCATATCAGTCTCCAAGTTGGGGTCCAGGGCAGGGAGAAAGAGAACCCTGAGTCCTGTAGTCCTGAGCCTGTCTTCTGAGCTGCCCAGAGGAGATTTGGCGGTGATGGCTATTGCAAGGCGTAGAACAGGGCCAGGAGGGGCGTCGCGGGAATGTTAGCTCTCCCCCGCCTCCTCCTGCTCTGCTGGCTTCTTGGTGCTGGAGAAAAATGCGTGTGCCAAGCAGCTTGGGAGTCAGACAGTGGGTTTGCAAACAGGTTTCTCCATCAGCATGGTGAGGCTGTGGGCAGGTTGCATAACCTCGTTGGCCTCAATTCCTAAATCTGAGACAGCCTTGAGGAGGGCCCGCCCATGTGACATCCTGGCCTCCTTGTGCCCCCAGCCTGAAAGGGCCACCTGCTCCCACTTTGCACCTACCACCAGATATGCAGATGTTACCCTGGGGGGCAGAGGCACAGTGTCATACTTGCCAACCTCACACACTCATACACATACTCACCCACGCATACCTCACACACTCAAGCACAACTTATATATTGCACTCATACACACACTCAGACATATCTCATCCTCACGAAGGGACCCACACTCACCCCACACAGCTGTACACACTTGTACACATTCGTACACACATTCACTCTCACATATCGCAAATACACCCACACACATGCAGCAGCCAGAGTGGAATCCATGGCCTGAAGCTGAGGCCACATCCATGCTAGTGGAAGAAGCAAAATCTGTTCAGTCAGGCTGAAGGCTCTGCCCCCAACCAGTGATTTGAGCTGAACTCAAGTGGTAATTTTCTAAATAACAGATCATTTTGCCTGAATACAATCAACAGTTTCTCATGTCTGGCCATATTTAACTTTATTTCGTTTCCAGTATTTCTTTCTTTCCCTCAGACCTGGCTGTGTTCAGGAGACATGTAACAGGCTGTGGAAAGCCAGCAGGAGGTCCAGACCATTTGACAACTACTTGAGGCACCTGCCCCCAGAACATCTGGACGTGTGGGGCGTCAGATTTGTGCCAGAGGCCTCGGCTATCCCCGCTCGGGGTCACCAGCTTGAGTCAGAAGTCCCCAGACTCATTTCATCATCTTCTTGTACACTTGCACAAACAGCACTGCTCCACACACACTACGTGCAGACATATGCACCCCTACATTCATATACACGCTCTAGATACACGCTCCGCCATAACACACACTTACACGTTACTGACGTGTGTTACACACAGAGACATCATCATATGCTCAGACACACCTGCACACACATAGACACATGTGTCCATCTATACACAAACTCATTAGCTCCTGTCTACATACCCACACATACACAAACACACGCTCCTAGATACGCAAACACCTGGGTTTGCAGGGGTGCCCAGACGCCCAGCAAATACCACCACTTTACGATGCTTGCTCAGCTCTGAGCCCTGCCCCTCTGAGGCTTGTAAATGCCAACTGCCCATGGCGTGTTTATAGGTGGCTGGAGGAATAAACAGTCCCAGAGAGAGGGTGAAGCCTGATGGGGGTTGAGCAGGCAACTGGAGTCCCAGAGAGACAAAAGGCAGGCCCGAGACCTTGCCGCTGGTCAACAGATGGAGAACCAGGGCACCCAGGGCCAAGGGAGAGGGGCTGGGGGTCGGGGAGAAAGAGGAGAAAATCTTTACTCACTGCTGCCGGCCAGGATGGCGACGGTGAAGAACGTTTTCGTAGCCAGGCTAGATCTGAGAGAGGAAGAAACCCAGGTGCTGAGTCCTGCCCTTCCGCCTTCCTGCAGTTCTGGGCCTGCTGCCCCTTCCTGGGCCTCATTATCATTACAGGTACCATCAGTGCTGTCCCTGGATGTCCTAGACGGCATCGATGCCCTGGTTCCTGCTGCCCCAGCCCTGTGATGAGCACCTTCAGGAAGATCTGAGCGCCTCCCACCTGCCCTGCACCTCTTGGAGGCAAAGCCCCCAGGACGGCGGAGCCAGGAGGCACTGGGAGCCTCCTTCCCTCCCATCGTGAGTGGGCATCCCCTCCCTGCATCAGCTTCCAAGACAGGAAGCTCACTGTCTCATGGGATCTGGTCATTTTTCCAGATCAGAACCAACCCCCCTTCTGTATTTGCCCCAGAAAATCATGTGACCCAACCTGGTGGCTGAGTCTTGCGCTTGGAGCCAAGAGACCTAGATCCCTGGGTTCTAGTCCTGGCTCTGCTTCCAAAATGCTGTGTGACTTCGGATAGACCCCTTAGCTTCTCTGGGCCTCAGGTGCCTCAAGAAGATTGATTAGATGATCCCTAAGGTCCTTCTAGTGCTGAAAATGCAATGGCACTTCTCAGCCATCACTCAGAGACTCAGAGCTCTCCTTTCTGGAGAAATGGATTGAAGGAGCCAATTCCCCACCTTCCATCCCAGGGGAACGAGCACATACCTGGAGGTCCTCAAAGGAGAAGTGGCCCTGAGACTTGGGCCCCTCCACCTAGAGGAACGTCTAACCAGCACCTTCCTCCTGAACCCTTTGGGGTTGGCCTGCGCCCCATCTGCCATGTTCTGGGTTCTGGGGGGCCAGCGACATAGAGCTCTGAAGGTCTGCGATCTGCTCCAAAGGCTCTGAGGAGCAGGCTCCAGCTTCGCACTGCCTCCTACACTGGCAGGGTAGTGCCGGGGCCGAGCCCCTGGGCAAGAGGCAGGTGACACATGCCCTAGAAAAAAAAGGCTCCACCTCCTCCCTCCCACCACCACTGCCTCTGCCCTGCCCACAGCTGCTTGGTGAAGTCCCCACCCTGAGGGTGCTCAGCCTGCAGAGAGAGTGGGTGTTTATGTACCTGACCAAGGAGTCGTCCCCTCCCCAAGCATCTGAAAGGAAATTAGTCCAAAGTCCTCTCTATTCCTATCTGAAAAAGATGTTAAAGAAAAAAGTATTGGATGACGATTGTGAAAGCATGATGAGACAGACTTTATTCAAAGGGGGCCATTACAGTAGGTTTGGGGGCCACTACAATGGTGTCTTGCAGTGGGAGAGAGATATAGAACTCAAATACAAGGAAAAGTGGGAATTTATGGCCAAGGAGCAGAGCGGGGGTCAGTGGATGGAAAATTACTGAGAGGAAACATCAGGGTAGGGGATACTGGCTGAAGGCAGGCCAGGGTGGTCAGATATCACCTGTGGTGGGGGTGGGGGATGAGGGACCCTTCGGATAGGTATTGGGTGTGATCAGATATCGAGGATGGAGATTCTGGCTGAACCGACTGACTAGCAGGATTCTTCCTAAACCTGATGGTGCAGAGACAAACACGAAAGCCCAAAATTTGAGGCCTAGTTGAAAAACAGTTGAAGTGGCTATCCGCATGTCCCTAAGGCTTCCCTCCACATCTGGAAGAGCTTTCGTCCGGAATCTGCAGAGAGCTCTCTACCACATCTGCAAGCATGTTGGTGCCCACATCTGGCTAAGGCTCTAGGGGCAGGGGCACATGCATCTGACAGGAAGCCCCCTGCTCGCATCTGGAAAGGTGAGCCTGCCCTACCTGGAGCAGGGACTTACTTCCCCGCCTGGCACCACTGTAATGTAGCTGATGCCTGGGGGATGGGGCAGCGCCCAGCAGATCTCTGACTTCCACCACTAAACCCACTAGGATCCCCCTCCCCGCCAAGTTGTGACAATGAAAAATGTCTCCAGACATCATCAAATGTGTCCTGGGGGGCACAGTCACCTCTGGTTGAGAGCCTGATGTCCTGGGAGTCGGCGCCATGTGCCTTTTGTCCGGGGGTAGCGTGCGTGTGAGCAAGATGAACAAGAGAGAAAGAGAGGGGGCTGGAGTCCCTGAAGGATGACGTAGTCCCTCTGGTGGAGCTTCCACCCCACATCTTTGTTCTGCAACCCTGGCAGGATAGTTCACTTCCTTGACCTCTGTGTCCTCAGCTACAGAGTACACATAATCAGGCTTCCCCACGAGAGGATTGTGCTGACAGATGGCAGGCGTCGTGTTGTGTGGGTGTGGGGGCAGGTGCTCAGTGAAGGATCCGACTGTTGCCCAGTTCCCCAGCCTCGAGGTAAACTGGGTAGGTGGGACGGAGAAGAAGGGAGCGGGAAGAGAAGAGTAATTTTGGAAATTAAAACTCCAAATAATCCCCCACCTTCACATTGGCCCTTCTCTTCTAGTGTCTCCAAATTTGCCGACAAGGGACAGAAGAAACCAACTATCCAGCAATCCCACCTGTCCTTCCCCTCTTCTTCCGGTCTCCATCCTTCCTCTGCCCATCTTTCTCTCTGTGGAGCCAGGCCCTTCTCTTTCCCAGAAGTTCTAGAAAAACCCCACTTCATCCAATCATACATCCTTCCATGGGAAGGTGTTCATTTGCACTTGGTTATACATTCCTTTGTAGGTACCTACACATGCTTTGTTTTGTGGGGGACCCGGAGAACAGAGGACTTTATTTCCTCCAAAGCCCGGAGGTTCCCTGTAGAACAGGGGTTGCATCTGCCTTATCAGACCGGGAGCTCCCTGAGAACGGAGAGGGCTGGGGGGATAAGGCTGGTCTCTGCCTTCACTTGTCTGCACAAAGCTTGGCTTCATTTGCTTTGCTTTCATTTCTGCGTGCACGTCTCAATGAGATATCACAGCACTCCAAAAGACAAAGAGCCAAGAACTATAAGGCTCAGGACTACAGTCCACATACTGAAGAGACAGCCTCCAATCTGCAGGTAACATGGAGACACTTAGATCTATGCCGAGGAGGCCACAGTGGGACAGGGGAACCTGCAAACCTCTGAACAGCTCTGTTGTCATGTTCTCATCTTGCAATTCCATTGGCTGCGTTGGTCGGGCTAGTCTGCAGAGGGAAAACCCCCGAGGTGGGGGGCAGTCAGCTCCTTCCTCTTCCTGCTCTCTCCCTGCCAAACACAGGTGCTCAATACCAGAAGTCAATAATAAACTGGTCAACCCAGTAATTCCTCTTCTGGAACTATAAACCCAGATGACAACCTGAGTCGCTCCCAGAGACAGATGAAAAAGATATTGACTGTGATGTTTTTATGATGCATCACCCCCAAATCAGAAGCAAATTAATTTATGGGGTTAGTTAAGCAAATTATTAACCACCCATTTACAATCATGTTTTGAAAGATTTGGCAATACAGAAAACAAAAAAACAAAATCCTGGATATGAAGGGTAATAGCAATTTTGTAAAAACACAAAAAGAAAAGATGAAGGAGTTTGTGTGCAAATGTGTAAAACTTATCTAGAAAGATATACAACAAAACATTAATAATGGTTATTTTTGAACAGCAAACCGATGGTTTTATTCTCCTATTTGGAATTTTCTGTATTAAAATGAATGTAAAACAATGCCAGCAACTGGATGGAATGATCGATTTCCTAGAAAGACACAAACTCACTCAACTGGAAATAGCCTTACATCTATTAAAAAAACTGTATATGTCGTTTAAAACTTTTTCACAAACAAACTCCGAGTCCAGATGACTTCACTGTTGAATTTGACCAAACACTTAAGGAAGAAATAATCCAACTGTATTAGTTTGCTAAGGCTGCCATAACAAAATACTACAGACTGGGTGGCTTAAACAATAGACATTTATTTTCTCATAATTCTGGAGGCTCAAAGTCCAAGATCAAGGTGTTGGCAGGTTTGATTTCATTTTGAGGCCTCTCCCCTTGGCTTGCTAATGGCCACCTTCTCTCTGCGTCCTCAAGTGGTCTTTCCTCTGTGCTTGCACATTCTTCTTCTCTCTTTGTGTGTCCAACTTTCCTCTTCTCATTAAGATGCCAGTTAGATTAAATTAGGGTTTACCTTTGTGGCCCCATTTTAATTTAATCACCTTTAAAGCCCTATCTCCAAACACAGTCACATTCTGAGATACTAGGGGTAAGGGCTTCAGCATATAAATTTTTGGAGGACACAACAGAGCTTATAAAACCAATTTCTTTCAGAAAATTTAAGTGGAGAAAATGTTTCCCAACTCACTAAATTAAGCCACCATTATTCTGATACCAAAACCAGATAAAGACATTGCAAGAAAACTGCAGACTAATGTCACTCATGAACATAGATGCAAAAATTCGTAACAAAACGTTAACGAACAGAATCTAACAATACATAAAAAGGAAATACACCATGACCAAGTGGAATTTATTCCAGGAATGAGAGGCTGGTTTTACATTAAAAGTTAGTCCATGTAATACACATGGACTAATTAACAGACTAAAGAAGAAAAACCATATGATTATTTTAATAAATGCGAAAAATATGTTTGACAAAATCTGACATGGTTCCTGATTAAAAAACAAAACAAACAAATCAAGCAAACTGAGATAGAAGGGAACTTCTTCAGCTTGAAAAATGGCATCTACAAAAAGCCTGCAGGTAGCATCATACTTATTGATAAAAGGCTGGTTGCTTTTCCCCATAAGATTAAGAACAAGACAAGGATAGCTATTCTCACCACTCTTATTTAACATTTGAGCCAGTACGACAAGGCGAAAAAGAAATAAAAGGCATTTAGATTAGAAAAGAAATTAGATTGTCTCTATTGGCATAAACATGATAGTCCATGTGAAAAATCCTGTAGAACCTACAAAAAACTATTAAAACTAATAACTGAATTTAACAAGATTGTAGGATACAATATGCAAATACAAGAAAATAAATTGTATTTTTATATCTAGCATTGAACAACTTGAAATGGAAATTGAAAAAACACATTTACGATAATATCAAAAATGCGAAATGTTTAGGGTTAAATCTGACAAAATATATGAAAGGCTTGTACAATGACAACTATAAAGCAATGCTCAAAGAAATCAAGGAAAACCAAAATAACTTTAGGGATATATCATGATATCATGTATCATGTTCATGAATCAGAAGACTAAATATACTTAAGATGTCAGTTCTGCCTATTTGCTCTACAGAGTCAGTGCGCTCTCAATCAAAATCCAAATAGATTTTTCTTGTAGAAATTGCCAAGCTGATCCTAAAACTCATATGTAAATGAAAAGGACCTAGAATATAAAATCAACTTTAAAAAGAATGAAATTCACACTACCTGATTTTTAAGCCTTATAAAGTTACTATAATCAAGGCGGTGTGGCTTGGCATAAAGATAGACAAAGAGATCAGTGGAACAGAACACATGATCTAGAATTAGACCCACACAAATATGAGGATTTTATTTTTGACAAAGGAGCAAAGGCAATTCTGGGATGGGAGGAGAATAGTTTTTCAATGGTGCTAGAAAAATTGGCCATCAATAGGAAAAGGAAGGAAGAAAGGAAGGAAGGAAGGAAGGAAGGAAGGAAGGAAAAGAAAAAATGTAGAAAGAGAAAAAGAAAAGAAAAAGAAGGAAGAAAAGAAAAAATAATTTCTATCCATACCTCTTATCATGTACAAAAATTAATCAGAATGGATTACTGTTTAACAAGGGTTCCGAGGCAATCCAATGGGGAAAGAGGTCTTGAACAAACGGTGCTGAGACTACTGTGTATCCACATGCAAAAGAATGAAGTGGGTCCCTGTCCTCACACCATACACAAAAGTTAACTCAAAATGGATGATAGAACTAAACGTAAGAGTTAAAACTATAAAACTCTTAGAAGATAACAAAGGAGTAAATCTTCGCGATCTTAGGTTAGACAATGGTTTCTTAGGCAATAGATACTACAAAAAAAAGCACAAGTGACCCACTCCCCAAAAGGATAAACTGAACTCGATCAAAATTAAAACTTTTCCCTGCAAATTATACCATCAAGAAAATGAAAAGACAACCCGCATGATGGGAGAAAATATGTGCAAATCATGTCTGATAAGGGACTTCTATCCAAAATATGTAAAGAACTCTTACAACTCAATAATAATAAGATAACAAACCAATTTGAAAATAGGCAAAGGATTTGACTAGGCATTTCTCCAAAGAAGATAAACAAATGGCCAATAAACACACGAAAAGATGTTCAACGTTATTAGTCATTAGGAAAATGCAAATCAAAACCATAATGAGATACCACTTCACAAAAAAAGAAAATTTATAACTGGTGTTAATGATGATACAAAGAAATTGGATGCTTCTACGTTGCTGGTCAGAATACAAAATGGAGCAGCCACTTGGAAAACAATTGGCAGTCCCTCACAATGTTAAACATGGAGTTACCTTATGACCCAGTAATTCTACCTCTAGTATATACCCAAGAGAAATAAAAACAGGCATCCACACCCAAAAAAATCTGCACACAGATCTTTACAACAGCATCATTTATAATAACCAAAAAAAGTCCATCTGTTGACGAATAGGTACATAAAATGACGGTATATCTAAACAATGAAATATTATTTAACAACTATAAGGAATAAAATGTTGTTACATGCTATAACGTGGATGAACCTTGACAACATCACGTTAAATAAAAGAAGCCAGTCATGGAAGGCCATATATTATATGATTTTGTTTCTATGAAATATGTATAAATGATTTTATTTATATGAAAAAGCTACATACTAAATGATTTCCACTTATATGAAATAATAGGCAAATCTGTAGAGACAGAAAGGAGATTAGTTGCTGTCCAGGATTGACGAGAGGGAGTATGTGGTATAGGGGGCTATGGAATGATTGCTAATGGGTAGGACTTTTTGGGGGGATGTTGAAAATATTCTAAGATTAGATTGTGGTGATGATTGCCTAACTGAATATTAAAAAAAAACATTGAATTATACACTTGAAATGATGGTATGGTTTTAGATTGTGGTGATGATTGCCTAACTGAATATAAAAAAACAAACAAACATTGAATTATACACTTGAAATGATGGTATGGTATGCAGAGAAAGAGAACAGCAGTAGCACCCCTGAAACCTTCTTAGTAACCCCATCTAGTCACTTCCCCCCTCAATGGGGAACCTCTGTCCTGACTTATAAAAGCACAGATTAGTTTGACTATGGTGGAAGGTCATATAAACGGAGTCTCTCTCACAGTTTTCACTCACAATTTTTAAATGGGCACAGCAATATCTTCTTCATTTTGTACAGCGTTTTTCATTCAACATCATGTTTTTGAGCTTTTTCCATGTTATTGTGTGTAGTTGTGGCTCGTCAAGGTGTTATCACAGAGTGGCTCTACCACCACGTATCCATTCTGCGGGAGACAGACATCCAGTTGTTTAAGCCACTTGCTTTGGTTCTGCCTTGGTGCAGCTGGAGAAAAGTGAGTTACTCTCCTGGAATCTCAGGTCTCTCCCTCCCTCCTCTTCCCCTGCCAGGGCCCTAACAGAGACAAAGCTAGAAGCCCCTGGGGACGCCCAGCTACCGTCACTTTCCTCTTATCCTGCAAACCCTCAGTAATTCTGAGCTTTGTCTCCAACACCCTCTGGCAGTTTCATCATGGATGGAATCCAGGCAGGAGGACCATCCTGGTAAACAGAGCTTGGCAGGGAGGAATGGATGGCGGGGAGGACTCTGGCCGCTGGCTGAGGGGACATGCTCTCACTCACGGTGTGTCTCTTAGAAGATGGAGGTCCTCTTTTCTCTCTTCTGCAGTGAGGTTGGGGACAGTAGGCTTCCGGGCTTTGCCAGCTCTTCTCATTTCCACCTCCATCTATACTGGAAAGGCAAGGGAGTATGGCAGAGCCCCTGAGTACAATGACTTGTCTGTAAAACGGAGATTAGGGCAGTACCCACTTACATTTACTATGTGGGACCACTTAGAACGGTGCCCAGCACATGGTAAGGGTGGCTCTGGCAGGCCTGTGTTCTAACCCAAAGTCTGCCGTCTACCTGCTGTGTGACCCTGGGCAAGTTTCTAATCCCTCTAAGCTCCAGTTTCCTCACCTGTAAAATGGGTATAGCAGTATCTCCTTCACAGTGTGGTCGTGAAAATTAAATGAGATAACAGCCCAGGGCCTGGCCCATGGTAGAGGCTCAGTGGATGCTAACTCTTCTCAACTGAATATGCACTCCAGCATCTAGGCCCTCTCCTGCTCTTTTCTATCCATAGCCCGGAGATTTCGATGTACTGTGGCCTGGCATTATCATCAGGCCTGTCTCCTATTGTTTCCGGGAGAGTAAAAACCCGCAGACTTGCTGACAAGTCTCAAGAAACCCCCACACCCAGTGAGTACTCACTCATATGCTGCTGATGGAGGCTGGGGGTTTCTAGATTCCTACAGTCTTCAGAAAAAGGAAGAAGCTTAAATACTGTTCTCGTCTTCTGACCCAGCAATTTCACTTCCGGAAATCTACTCTAAAAAAAGCACCCTTTTAAAAGCAGATAAAGCTTTATCATCATAGGTACTATCATAGGTACATGAAATAGGTACTATCATCGCCCCTATTATACGCATGAGAAAACAGAAGACACATTGCTAAGCCCCTTGCTCCAGGTGAAGCAGCTGGAACATTGGGGATGCCAGCCAAAATCCAAGCAGGCTGGGTTTGACTTCCCTGCCTCATCCTCTTCACCTCCACGTGATGCTATGTAACCCGCGTTGTGGTTGCCTTAAAGGCATTCTCTGCGTGAGTGAGGCTTCGTGCAGTGTGCTGTACGCATGTGATCTCTAAACCTCACAGCGATCAGAGGAGAGAGGGGCTATTGCCCCTATCTTGTCCCTATTCTGCACATACAGAAACCGAGGCTCATGGAGGTGAAGCGATTTGCCCAGGGTCCCACAGCTGGTAAGAGAAGGAGCCAGAGTTTGAACCAGGTCCCTCTGATCCCAAGCCCAGCCCTCCAGAGGTCCTCTGGGGCCTCTGGAGGAACCCAGGACAACTGTTTTTGAGTCTCCCTTACAGCATCAATATCACGTCTTCTCCACCATTAGGGAAAAGCCTTCTGGAATCAACAAAAGGCTTATGGTCCTGGCTACTTTGGCTTCTATCTAAAAGATGCCAGATCGAGGGGAGCTGGGACGCTGGCAAATAGAACCACAGGCCCCATCAAGAGCCCAGATCTAGAAGACTGTTTGGAGGGTAAGGCCCTACCTTGGTGAGAGTATAAGAGAGTAACTATTGAGCACACTCGGGGGAGGCATGTCACAGAACATGCCGGAAGCATTTACTTTGCTTTCTGCTTAGTTATTTTGTGTACAGATTGTTTTCTGACATATGAGGTGATCAGTTGGTGATGGAGTCTAGAAACAAAGGGAAAAATAGATTTCAGAGAGAGAAGGATGAGAGTTGATAGAGAGAGAGAGAGAGAGAGAGGGAGAGAGAGAGAGAGAGAGAGAGAGAGAACAATTTCCAGCAGTGACGCTTGCTGGCATACTTTTTTGGGTGAACTGATTATTTGGCAGCAAAGAGATCAGCCTGGACACTATGTCCTTAAACAGCTGTCTAAGGAGCATCAAAGAAAACCAGTGGAGAGAGAAGGATGAGAGTTGATTGAGAGAGAGAGAGAGTGAGAGAGAGAGGGAGAGAGAGAGAGAGAGAGAGAACAATTTCCAGCAGTGACGCTTGCTGGCATACTTTTTTGGGTGAACTGATTATTTGGCAGCAAAGAGATCAGCCTGGACACTATGTCCTTAAACAGCTGTCTAAGGAGCATCAAAGAAAACCAGTTTCTGCCATCTGTGGACACTCCATTAAACCTTGAAAGACTATTGATGGTGGCTTTGTGGCAGACTATCTCTTTGTGGTGCCTTCGAGGGTCCTGCCGTGAGCACCCCAGCCCTAGTAGCCTGGGTCCACACCATTTGCCTCATCAGGATTCTCATATGTGACCTGGGGCCGACCTTCTGCAGAGTCAGTTGTCGACACATGTCAATTGCCTTCAAATCATGTGCTTTGACTCAGCAAGTCTACTTTAGAACTAGATTCTACAGCAACAATTCTGGACATGAACTGAGACTTAGCCTTCAGGGATTTTTCACTGTACCACTGTATGGTCTAGACTAGTAAAAAATTGGAAATAACCCATATGTCCACCAATAAAGGATTCGTTAAATGAATGGCTTAGCCATATGAGGACTACAAGGCTACCTTTCAAAATGTTACTGCAGAAAAATATTTAACGACACAGAAATATGTTCAAGTTATATTGCTAAGTGAAAAGACAGGCTTCAGAGCACTGCAAAGGACCATCAATAATGTTTCCCTAATTTGGATAGGAAAAAGCATGAAGATATATATGGCAGCAGAACCAGAAAGACATACACCAAACATTTAACGGTGCTTAATACATTCAACAGGTGATTTTCAATTTCTTCTTATCGCTTATATTTTCCAAATTTTCTGCACTGAAAGTTTCTTTTGCATTCAAAAAGTTTTTAAAAAGATATGAAAAATAAAATAAAATTCCCTCATGTTAGAAAAGAGGAAACAGAAGTAGTACGGGTGATCTGGAGCTGAGGGGGTGTGGGCACGGGCAGGCTCGGCCGGGTCAGGTGCATCTTATATGAGGGGTTGCCTGTGTGAAGGGGACTTCTGGCAGCTGCTTCCACTGCTCTGGGCTGGGATCATGGAGCTTCTCCAGTTGTGCATGCTGGTGGTGTTTGCTGGTGAGTGCGGATAGGACCCACGGCTGGGAAGGGGAGGAGGGATGTGCATAGGCCCTATATTTCTTTCTTAGACGGAGCTGCTGCTCCGATCCCCACTGCCCTGGCCCCTCAGGCCCCCCCCAACCCTTCTGCCTCTGGTGAGGAACCATCAGTGGCTTCCAGTCCCCTCGAACAGTGGCTCTGGTCAGAAAGCTCTGGGTGGCCAAGCTGAGTGGCATGTTTCTGGACTGCTGTGAAGGTCAGAAACTATAGGTTCAGAACCCAGGGAACTGCTGAGTTGATACCTATGGTACTTTGAACAGAAATTACAAAAAGGGACCTCCCCACCTCACTCTGCTCCCACCTGTCCCTTTGACCGAATGATAACAATCATTCACATAGAGACAGTACTCTATTTTTAGAACCCATTCATGCTCATCATCTCCGCTGAACCTGGGAAGAGGGTTCTGTGGACCATCGGGAGATGGGCAATTTCTCTTTGATTTTAGTGAGTCAATTATAAAAATGTGGTTGCTTGTAAACTGGTATTTTTGTTTCTTGACCGTCTCAAAATACGTGATCTTAGAAAGGATACATTTTTAGATGGGGTCATATGTTACCTTGGGACTCCCAAGTTCTTGAGAGGAACATATTTCCAGGGTTACAGTGAAAATCATTAGGAAAATTGCAATCGAGCTACAGAAATTTATCTCTTAGATGTGAAGAGGCAATACAATGTAGAGAGAAAATACATAGATGAACTTGATTCAGACTCTGGCCCCGCCATCTCCTGGCAGTACGATCTCGGCCAAGCCACCCTCTCCCTCTATCCTCATCTGTAAAGTGGGTACAATAGCACCCTCTTCATAGAGTTTTTAGAAAGACTCTAATGACAAAACATATACAATGTTTAGCAAGTGTAAGTCACAGTAAGAAGCAATAGCTTAATACACAACATGCGCCCCAGGTGGTAGCAGCGTTGCCTCCCACCACTGTGGGGAACTCTTGGAAGGAGGGGCTCCACCCCCCTCAGTAGCAGATGAGGATGGAGAAAGCTACCAGACGAGAATTGCTGACAAGCTAAGCCAGTTCACCGAAGCCCTCGTAGCCACCGATTGAACTCCTCAATTTCTCAGGGCTGGGTTCACCTCTCTATAAAACTGTAATAAATAAGACCACCCAAAGGCATCCTGAATCAAAGCTGTTTCTATGACTTGCCTGGCAAGGGAGAGCTGCATCGTTCAGGCATGAATTGGTTTGTGTGTGTATTTCCAAGCTGAAATTGGAAGGGGTAGATTTAGGGCAGAATGAGGGATGGAAGTATGCCAAAAAAGGCAAGATTCTGAATTCAGATCCCTGCTTGGCCCAAGAGGTGGATGTCACTCTCCCTGCAGAGGGTTACCTTCAGGGTCCTTATCACCGAATCCGGGATTCCAGAGGACCTGGGATCATTCATCAGCCCAGTCCAAGCTTACAAATTTTCTCTTTAACATCAGTATAGCTAGAGCCACCATGTCATACAGAAGTGGCTACGTGGATCCTCACACATGGAGGGGACACACTGGGGACACAACAGGTTTTCAAGTAATGAACACCACCTGTCACTTTCAGCTGCAGCCCAAGGCCACCAAGGGTGATCTCACCCTGGGTCCGCTGCACGAGTCCCTCACAGTCCCGCTGTTCCCACCCCAACCCCTTCTAGTTCACTGTTTAATTCATTTGCATGAGGAGCTTTCATTATAACGTCATTTGCGTGGGGGTTAGGGAGCTCTATAGCTCGGATCGCCGAAGGCACCTACCCAGCCCCGTCTCCCTGAGATTATGAGCCCCATCTGTGCCCTTGAACCCTCTGCAGAGGTTGCACACAGCTACATTTCAGTCCCCTTCTTATTTTGTCTGCTCCTCCCAAACTCTCCTGAATTCACTGACTTAATATAATTTCATTTCTCCCAACTCATCAGAACGCATTCCTCTCTCCCAATAAAATAAATTCCCCTTATCAATTCTAACCAGAAGCTTTTATGACTGAAATGAAAAATATCCATGAAAATTATTGATTTCTAAATCACACTGCTTCCCAGAAGAATCAGGTGCGCTCTTGAATGCATGGATTTCTCCACCACATGTGGTGTCGGGCTGGGAGGGTGTAAGACACAGGGTGCCTCTTTCTCTTACCGAATGGGACCTCGATGCCCGGGGACCGAGAATAGAACCAAACCGCCTTGGATTTTGACCTTGGCTCTTCCATTTACCAGCCACTATGACCTGGAGCAAGTTACTGGAGCCTCAGTCTGCTCATCCCTGAAACGGGGGGTAAAAATAATATTTATTATACTAATGTCGAGTCTACGGCCGTGCCATCCTGAACAAACCCTATTCCGTCTGATCTCGGAAGCTAAGCAGGGTTGGGCCTCGTTTGTACTTGGATGGGAGACCATTTAGGAAGACCAGGTGCTGGAGGCATAAAAAATAAGGGATTGTAAGCTGACAAGGTCCTTGTAATCTGTGAGGTCAACCAAAGGTTGCATCACCTAAAAAATATATATATACTAATGTTGGTTTCTTCGTTTTCATAAATATACTGTAATTATACAAGATGGTTTTGACACTAAAGGAAAGTTCTATGAGAACTGTTTGTATGACCTCTGCAGCTTTTCTGGACATCTGGGAGATACAAAATAAGAGTTTATTTATCAAAAAAAAAAATAGTACTTATCTCATGGGATGGATGGAGTCAATAAATAACTACATGAAAAGACCCCATAGTAAGCTCTCATTCACTATCATTATATTTTTAATAGCTGTAGTGGTTGTTGTCATTTTATTATCCAAGGTCATTGATTTGGTCCAGGTGGAGCAGAGGTACCAGGCTTGGGGTCCACTGACCTCCCCTGAGACTCATGTCCTCTCCTTGTTGCTGGGCATCTTGGCAGGTGCGTGTCCAACCCAAGGCGGGATTCTGAACCTGAACGACATGGTCAAACAAATGACTGAGAAGACGCCCATCATCTCCTATTGGTTCTACGGCTGTCACTGCGGCCTCGGTGGCAAAGGCCCACCCCTAGATGCCACAGACCGGTAACCCCTCCCAGGCAGCCCCATGAGTGCCAGCCTGGTCCTGCCTTCACTCCAGAACTCTTCCCTTTCCTCTCCATCCATTTATTAATTTTGTGAATTTGTTTTGTATTGTGTGCTAGGAACTCTGCTGAGCTCTGATACAGCCCCGGCCTTCCTGCAGCTTCCCTTCTAGAGGGTTCCCTAAAGTCTCTGAAGGTCCCCCTTCCACTCCCAACCCCTAATCTAGTTAGAATACCCACACACACTCTCTGCTGCCAATGCACAGTGTTTTTAAAAAGTCCCACTTTTTTTTGTCATTATCTCATCTGATCTTCACCTGAGAATCGGCCAGAGGAGAGATGAGAGCCAGCCAGGTCCCTTTCCTAATCCACCACATACAGGCTGTGTGACCTTGGGAAAGTGGCTTGACCTCCCTGAGTCTCAATTTCTTCATCTGCAATATGGGGATAATATTAGTACCTTTGTCATAGGGTGGTAATGACTATTAAGAGAAAATTCATTTTAAAAAGCTGGCGCCTGGTACCTAGGAAGCACTCAATACGTGTTAGCGAGCGAGGCTGTCAAGAAGGCTAGACCCCTGCAGGCCTCGACTCTTCCAAGGTGGGCTCTCAGCTTCTCCCCTGGGGCCGGGGGCTGCCAAAGAGCCGAGTCAGCTAAGGACCCGGGCACTCTGCTGCCTGCCCCACCTCCTGTCCTCTCCCTCTCCCTCCAGGTGCTGCCATGCCCACGACTGCTGCTATGCTCACCTGAGGCACCATCGTTGCCGTTTACACACGGACCATTACAACTACAACTTTTCCCATGGGGACATCCAGTGCTGTGAGTGCCTGGGCCTCAGGATTGGAGTGAGAGATGGGGGAGGGGAGCTCTGGTGCTCACCGCCTTCATATGTGTGAGATTATGCACGAGCTACTCAACCTCTGTTTTTCTCATACGTCCAGTGGCAACAGCTGGGCTCTGGAGAAAGGGCAGGAATGGGGGTGGAAGTATGGAGAGGTTCAATGGGGGCTTTGGCCCCTGTAGGATCTGCAAGCCTGGTGGACCTCAGCTTAGATCCCAGACCCACCACTGCCCAGCTGTGTAACCTTGAACACGTTTGCTCAATCTCTCTGAACCTCAGTATCCTCGTCTGTAAACTGAGGATGCCAACAGTATCCTACCCGCTAAAGTTAATTCAAGAATTAAAATGAGAACAGACAGAATGAGCCTCACAGATGCCTGTCACAGAGTGCATGTTTGATAGATGACATGGGCTACTGATATTATTGTTGCTACCTTCATCATTTTTAATTCTCATAGTAGCTCAGCCAGGAGGCAGCCCCACCCCGATAACCTCCATTTTATGGACAGGAAACTGAGAGTAGAGTGAAGAAGTTTCAGCTGAAAATGACAGAGCCTGGGTCGGATCCCAGGTCACCTGGCCCCTGGGTCCATGCACGAAGGAAGGTGGCAGGTCCAAGGGCTGGGAATTAGATGCTCACATCACAGCAGCCCCTTTTAATTTAGAATTTAATAATGATAATAACAACAACAATAGCCAAAATTTATTGAGCACTTACTATGTGCTGAGTGCTTTGCCTTCGTACTTTAAGTCCCATGACAGCTCCCTGAGGCAGCACTTTATAATCATTCCCTTTTTATTACAGATAATGCAACCGAAGCATTGTGGTCCCTCCTGCCTGAGAGTCTTTGCAAATGCTATTCCATCTGCCTAGAATACTCCCCCTCCTCCACCCTGGCTTTCCACAGGGAGAGCAGACGCTTCCGGTCTCAGCTCCAATGGCTCTTTTCTCACTGTTTTATCATCTCGTAGCCCTGGCATCATTCCTTGCTTCCATGTAGCACAGTTTGTAATATATTCATTTCTGTGCTTCTCATCTGTGCCACTCCCATGGAGTGTGAACTTCACAGGTCCACTGTGTTCAGTCCTATTCCCCCCAGGCCTGCCACTAGATAGGGCTCAACTGTTCATTGAATGGATGAGTAAATAAATAAAGGTGCAATGCCACGTGGGGAGGTCATGGTACGTGCCCAAGGTCACACAGCTAGAATCGAAGTAGCTGGGAAGGGTACTCTAAAGCTGGGCAAGAATGGCACTGCCTTCAGAAGCTCCCTCCGGGGACCGCAGGCCCACCCTTGGCTCTGTATCAGGAAAAGAAAGACACTGAGCTCCCCACTCTTCCATCCCACAGCTGACAAGGGAAGCTGGTGTGAGCAGGAGCTGTGCGCCTGTGACAAGGAGGTGGCCTTCTGCTTGCAGCGTCACCTGGGCAGTTACAAGAAGAAGCTGCGTTTCACCCGTCAATTCTGGCCATCTCGCTGCAAGGGCAAGACCCCTATGTGCTAGGAGAAGCCTGACCTGGCTGTCCCACACCCCCTACCCTGGCCATTGGAAGTCCCGCAGGATTGCTGACATGCCTGTCCCAGTAGTAGCTAACCCCCGAACCAGCCTGGCTCCTCGAACACACTCCCAGGAAGAGAGAGAGTCTCAGCCTCTTCCCAACCACCTACCTGGCCTCTTGGGCCTTCTAAATCTTCCCGAGGCAGCGGCTATCTCCTCTGTGAGTGGGTTGAGATTTTAGGAAAAGCCAAGGAGAAGGAGCCCCTGAGATGGTGCTTGAGCCAAAACAGCAGGTGTGGCAGGTTCTCCCTGCCACTGCCATTCACTCAGCAGGCCTCCCCGGCCCAGCGTCATCTCTCCAATACACTGACCAAGCCACAGCCGGAGCAGGCTCTCTACGGGGCAGTACTGATCTTTCTGTCCCTATGACTGTTCTTCTTCAAACCCCGTGGCCCTCTACCACCCTAGGTGAGGGCCTCTCACAGGAGTTTGGGACCTGCGCTGTCTGGTGATATACCCCTCTCTCCACTAGGCTTGGAGGTCCTGGCAGGCAGGAGCCATGCCTGACTTAGACTCATTTGCATCGCCAGTGCCCAAAACAGTGCCAAGAAGGGTCTCAGTAATTACTTCTCAAGGAAAGGGCTGGAGGAAGGCCCTGCTTCTCTTGCTCCGGGCCCACAAGCCCATGTCGCGTGTCTTCCAGGCATCCCTATTTTTCTGCTTCCAGGCTTTGGCTCAGTGTTTCACTTGCCCTATCCAGGTGGCTAAGCCCTCCCAGGGCTCTTCAGGGTCCAAGGGCTACTTCTTACAGAAGTCTCCCTCGGCCGATTCCTCCCCAGCTCTGAGGCCTCACCCCCTCCTCTGAGCTCCAAATCCTTCATAACACTTTATGGGGCTATAATTTACCAAACTTTATCTTGAGTAGTATATCATCGCCTGGACTTCTTTGATCTCCAACTAGACTGGAGCCCCCGGAGGATGGGGGCCATGCCTGTCTCATGTTCCTTTCCTCTGCTCCCCCACATAGTAGGTACTCAACTATGCTTATGAATCAAATGAGCCCATAATGGATAGATGGAAGTTGTGGCAGATGTTGGTGACCCACCCAGATCCCCGAACTGCCAACTAAGCCATGTATTGACTGCCAAGTGCTCACATCTGTCTCATTCTCTGCCCTTATCTGCTGGGAGCCATATTGCCTATCCTCCCAGCCCCCCACTCTACCCACCTCTAACTAATGACTAGGAAGTATAACACCACAAAGGGTATAATTGCCAACCCTCTGCCTCTACGCAGGACCATCCTGGTGGTACATTGCATGCCCCAGAGCTCCTCCTGGGATCAGGCTGAGGGTAACATCTGGAACCACCCTTCTGCTTGCTTTGTCCCCTGGCCCATCCTGTTCTCCTTGTTCCCTTACAGGTTTCTCCTGAGAACACTCCCTCAATAAACCCTTCACTTGCACAAGAATCCTCGTCTCAGGCTTGGCTTCTAGAGAAAAGGATGGATGGATGGATGGATGGATGGATGGATGGATGGATGGATGGATGGATGGGTAACTTTTTCATATAAGGATCCACAATCTGTCATTCATATGTAATTTGCCATGTCTCAGCAGCAGGGATGGGGCACTTGGAGTCACCCACATCATCAGCCTGTGACACGCATATGTGAAACAGCTTACCAAACAGTTTTCCTGAGCTCAGAGGCTCATTCGAGGCAATGTAATAAGAATTAAGAACTATGGGTGCTGAGTTCAAATTCCAGTTAGACCACTGAATAGCCACGTGACCTTAAGTGAGGGAGGAATCTTGATTTCCTTAAGTGGGACATACAATTTAAATTAAGAGGAAAATAAGATGAGGTCAGTTTTTTAAACAAGATGAATGCATATTAGGCTCTTTGCGCAGTGTCTAGCATGTGGTCATTCCTCTTTAAATTAAATGTTAACTGTATTATGTTATTATTGTTATGTAGTGACTAAATCTGGTCACCTCCAAGATAAATCAAGAGCAAATAGTTCATCAATGTTCCCTGCTCCACCCAATTCCTCTCTCCCTTCTATATGGCTGTGCAAGCTGTTTTAATTACTTCCTGATGCATGATGTCCATTTATTCAAGACACAAAGGCAAGAGCTGGCAACCCTGCTTGTCCATCAAAACTCCCATGTTCTAGGCTCTGTGCCATTGATAATATCAGTGTTGGCAGGTATGCGCATTTATTCTCATTTTAAAGTTCTGAGCAACCTGAGACTCAGAATGGGGACAGGAACCTTCCGAGTTCCCACAACCAGCAAAAGCAAAAGAGTCATTTTCAGATCATTCCCCAGACTCATCTCACTCTGCTCCCTAACACCCCATCCCATTTGTATAGGTCAAGAAACTTCCAGCCGAAAATCCTGACTCAATGGGCTTCAGTCATGAGGGCATTTATGACCTCACATGACAAGAAGTCCAAGGAGAAGGTGGCTCTTTAGTGGCTTGATGATGTCATCAGCCCCCCGGTTTTTCTCCTGCTCTTGGCTGGCCACCCTCACTTTGCCTTTTGGGTGGCTTCTCTTGGCTCCAACATGGCAGCCATGACCCAGACCTCAAGCCAAAACATGATAACATCCAACAGAGAAAATGCTGCCTCTTCTGTATCTCCTTTTATTAAGCCCTACCACCACCGCCCAGCAGGCCTCCCGCCCTGGACTGGCCGCCTTATCCATGGTGGCCCCCAATGGGATTACACTGGCCAGTTTAGATTCCTCAGGATTTATTTACCCCTAAGAGGGACAGGGTCAATGTCCCGGAGGGGTGGGTGGCTGTTAGAATGGCGTCCCTTGGGATTGTTGATAGGATTGGTGTTGGGTGGGCAAGCACAGGGCAGGGTCAGGAGTAGGACTCTGCCTGCAGTGCTTCCCTCTGTTTGCTGGGCACCCAGTGCAGGGCCTAGAGATCACAGAGTAGGTATCGATAGGTATTTGCTGAATGAATGAATGAATGAATGAACAAATGAATGAATCCCAGTTTGGTAAAGACAGGAGACTTTGGACCAAGAGGAGGGGTGGGCAGGTGGGGGTCTCAGGGCAGCCAGGACTGAGTCTCCGAAGTAAGGCAAGACCCTCCTACCCGGGGAGCTCTCCTTGTGGACCCAGTGGGGGAGGGGCAGGAGAGACACTGAACACCTGCTGTGCCCACTCCCCCACTCCCACCCACTCCTTAGAGACATTGATATTGTCACCCACATCTTCCAGGTGCAGAAACTGAAACTCGAGAATGAGTCACTTGCTGATAAGTAGTAGGGCTGGTGTTCGAACCCAGGTATCTCTGGCTCCAGGGCCATGTCTCACGTTACCTCCTACACTCTTTACTGGGACGGTTGGTGACTCAACCCTGGGTGCCCCTTATGAGGGGAGGAGCCATGCCCAGGGTTGAGGAGGTGAGGTTGGGTGCGGAAGCCAGGGGGAAAGGGGTAGTGAATAAATCAATCATACGGACAACGATAACAGTGCTCAGACAGAGCCCTCACCCTTGCAACGCTTCCCCCAACATGGAGCCCCTTCCCACTGAAGAGGAATTTTTATTCGAAAGGCTAACCTTATAATCAGCTCTTTGTTCTGCTTCTGTAGATATGCTTGCGACATAGGCCAAAGGGCAGGGTGACCTCGAAATTAAGTAAAAACTCATCCTCCCTTTGGCTTGTTCTGTCTAGATAACAAACGTATTGCCTAAATTCCTGTCTGAAACTCCCGTGCTTTGTAACTCTTTTTAACTGCCTGTAGCCCATAGCAACTCCCACGCTTCGTAACTGCCTGAGGACAAATTAACCAATCGGCCTATGCCAACTGGCCAATTGTAACTGTGCAGATGAGCCCCATAAAAGGTAAAGTTGCCCCTGAGCTCAGGGCCCAGATCTTCAGAGCGCCAGCTCTTCAGGGACTGCCGGCATAATAAACCTGAATTCTCCAACTCTCTGAGTGGTGCTTGGTTTCTCGCTGGTCTGATTTTTCTGCAACACCACCATTGGCTGGCCCCATCCTCAGGTCACCTGGATCTAGGACTCTGCCTTCCAGGGTGTGGGTGCCCAGCCCAGGGGCCTCATAGGCCAATGCCCTCTTCTCAGTTCTGCCTGTTCTTCCAGCTGGATCCTGCTCCCAATACCCAGGCTTCCTTCACGCATCCTCCCCCTCGCTGCGAAATGCAGGTGGGGCTGGGCCTCCTGTCCCCCTCACCCAGTCTCAGTGCCCCTTGATAGAAAATGCACACTTGGGGTCCCTTGTTTGCTAGTGACATCAGCTGAGAGCTGACCTGACCCTGGGGCAGCCCGGACAACCCCAAATCAGGACCTGACTGGCTCTCTCTAGCTCGAGATCCTCTGTTTTGTTCGTTTATTTGTTTTTTTGTATCGCTTAAGATAAAGAAGAAATTTTTTCAGTTTGTGAAAACTCAAAGCTGGGAACATCAGCCCAGGGGTTTGTTCCTGTTCTCTTTCTGCTTTAGTTTCTGGTCATGGCCTTGCCCACCTTGGGGCTTCTTCTAGAAGGTTCTTCCCCTGGCTCTTTGCAAGACTGGCCTCTGTCATCCAAAACTCAGCTGACAGTCCTTCCCTCAAGAAAGTGTTCCTGCCCTGTGCCGCCAGCCCACAGTAAGTGCCCTTCTGGGAACCCACAGGCAGAAAGAAGAATTCAGCCAAGGTTGGGGGGAGTGGAGGGGTGGCTTCTGGCTTCCTAAGAGGGAGATGGGGAAATGCCATTTTCTGGATTTTCCTGTCCTAAGAACCTTACAAACATTTTCTTATGTATACCTCATTGCTCACGGCCCTGCCAGGTGGGTATTTTGACCTTCTTTTACAGAAGAGAAAATAGGCTCCGATAAGAACTATCTCGCCCGAGGTAACTCACTCAGCAAGAAGTAGCAGGGCCTGGCATGGGAAGGAAGTAAAGCCATGCTGAGCCCTGCGGATGGTGTCGCCCTCTCCAGCCCAGATGAGGCATCCCCTCAGGCACCGGTTCTGAGACTTCACAGGAATCCCCTGGGGGAACCTGTTTAAAATGCAGGTTCTAGGGCCCCACACCCAGAGGGTCTGACTCTGTAGGTCTGGGGTGAGGCCCAGAAACCTGCCTTTTAAACAAGTGCTGCTGGAGATTCTGACGCCTCTGGTGGAGGATCATGCTCCAAAAAGGGAGCGGGCCCCCTTTCCTCTGTCATCTGGCCCGTGTTATTCCTCTTCCCCTATGCCGGCATCTAGTGCAGGCAGAATCTGTTCCTGTGGCCAACCCCAGGGCCGATCAGCCTTTTAATACCAAGATTTGTTTATTCTGTGCCAGCCCAGCTCCCTGGGCTGAAGGATTGGTGACTCGCTTTCTAGATCAGACGCTATGCAAGCCTGGTTCTAACAGCCCCCACTGCTTCATCTGTCAAATAGGAGGTGGTGAGGATGATGCTTCTCAAACCCCGGCCTTTCACACATCACCTTCCTGATGTTGGTTTAATATTTCGCTTTACTTTTTTTTTTTTTAACTTTTAATGATGCTTCTCAAACCCCGGCCTTTCACACATCGCCTTCCTGATGTTGGTTTAATATTTTGCTTTACTTTTTTTTTTTTTTTAACTTTTCTTAATCTAAATAAATGTATTGAAGAAGGAAACTCGAGTAGAATGAAAACCAGTATCGTAAACAGAAGGTGACCATAAAGATAAATGCAATGAAAATAAAACTATCAGACGGAAGAGGCACATGATCTAGCAAGTGAACTCGCAAGCACTCGAGAGGTGCTGAGGACAGCCAAGCTCCACCCAGAGACCACCTTCGCCATGATGTAGTCCGCAGGCTTGCAAAGGCAGATGTGAATGACTCAGGCACCCTGTGAGTCAGTGTTATGCAAACTCCTCTTGGAAGTGCCCCACCAGGGGAA